CTGCCAGCTGAAGGCTGAGCCTCTTTGTTGAAAAGGAAGATCCCCACGTGTTAGGGAGTGTTAAGTAGATGCTAACCTTCCATTGAGTCATTCTTCTGGATGTAATCAACTGAACAGACTGTAACTCTCTCCCAGTGGTATTTAACTGGGGCCTGAGTAACTCGCAATCGCTCGCGCACCGCTGGGGTTTGATCCTGCTCTGAGGTGATGCTGCCTCAGCTCCTGTCTGCTCTGGGAGCAGCTGACCCCCTTGCTGCCCAGGCCCACCACACACAAACCTGGCACCTGCTTTATCCCTGTGCCCGGGCTTGGTCCTGGGCCCCACCATCTCAGGGCGTTCAAGTGGAGACAAGGTTGCAAGAACCACCGTCCTGAGCTCGCCGAGTGACGGAGCCCGTGCTGGGTGTCTCACACGGCTCATGTACATGTCGCCACATCCCAGTCAGTTCAGGGTTCTGCCCTCTCCGTACTGTTCATTTACTTAGTATTTCTCTTCAAATGGAGTTGCTTTTAAAACAGTGTACCTTTCATTGTCAACGGCAACGCTGCGTGATTCCATAAACCACAGCTCGGTGTGCTGCTCATGTAGTTCCAACACGCATCACTTATGAGCTAGTAAATGCGCGCTCATCCACAGGCTGCCTAAGGTCACCTGATGCAGCACCGACACCCGCGGCCAGCGCTGGGAAACACCGCAGCCCTTAGCTGGTGCGGGCTTCCTGAGCTGGTGCTTTGTATGACAGAGAAGCGTGGGGAGCTCAAGCGGTCACCTGCCTGCAGCCCCACAGGTGGGGAGGTGCAGGGCTGAGCCCTGAATCCCGTCCACCACGGAAGGCCTGGCTCTTCAACACCAGTGCTTTTCAAAAGCCTTTTTAAAATTCAAAGAATCCTTTTAAGATGAAAATGTGTGTGGAAATCAGAAAACAAAAAATTCCTTCAAAAGAAAACAGAGCGAGCATTTGTGATCGAAATAGGATTGAGGACCCAGGGCACCTTTCTCAGGCCCTTCCTTTCCTCAAATCCACCTCAGAATGGCCCTTGAAAACCTTCTCAGAAGCCCAGAACTCCGAGGAACATTCTTTTAAATGCATGCCTCACACCCTGTCCCTTGACTGCATTTAGTCCAATTTTCCCTGTGAGCCAAACTCCTGAGGGGCAATTTCTGGATCGATGTTGTCTTTCCAGACCGGGCACCTCTACCTTGGACCGTGGCCATCTTGAAACCTTGAAATTTTCCATCTTGCCATCTTGAAATCTTCCATTTACTTTTTAGGCTTTACTCTGACCTAATTATTCATTCATCGAACACTGATGTCTAATCTGTACCCAGATATTTGGAGGGTACGAAGAGGCTGAGCAGGAGGGAGTACATTATTTTTTTTGATGGGTTCCCAGACCAGCATGGAAGACCTACTCGGGCATGACCAAGTCCGCAGGCGCAGGCAGCCTGGGCTCCCTGAAGCTCCCCCGCCTCGGGGTTCCTGTCTCCCTAAGGTGGCTGGTTGCATCCTGTGGTGGGCACAGCCCGAGACAGGGCCAGCTGCAGGACCCCAGGAGACCCGATGCCCTCCCCGCTGTGCTGCCAGACGTCTTGGCTGGGTTCCCTCTGTGGTTCTGGGGTCACTGTTCCCTTCACAAGGACC